GTCCCCGGGAAGATCACTAGCTTAATCCCGGTCTTGTCCCCTGTACCACAACACATACCCTAGTCTTTGACAATATCCCCAGTATCAAATGTGCCGAAAACAAAACAATAAAACTCACCTGTACTAAAAAAACGGAAGACTTATTTCCATTCTCTTGTCGCTGACAGAAATAAATTTCTGTGACGGACTCTGGCCGCCGGGAGCTTTCCCCAGCAAATCGGTGGACAATTGAGTCGTTACAGGTTTTATATTCAATTTTGCCAAAATTGTTCTTTTTATATCTTAGCCATCCAATATCATTCCAAACAAATCTTTCCCTATCTTGATTTGTGGTTCTCCACATTAACTTTGGTTAATGTGGAGAAAGGAAAATTCAAAAGCCATACGATACCCTTCCCCATTTTGGATTCATACAAGAGATGGTCATATGTACAATATCCTTCAGATAGAATAGGCATCTTTGGAGGACCATTGACCATTGAAATGGAATCGGACGAAATTACTTGCGTGAAGTACATAAATAAAAGCAACCCATACACATACCAACCTGTGGTAACTTCAATACGCTATGCAAAATTTTATCTCAATCGGATAAAAATCGTACGAAACTATATATTGGAGCGATATCTAAATCCGAATCGATTTCCAAAATTTCAATAGGGTTCGTACTTGGACTAAATAAGTGACATGTGCAAAATTTCATCCAAATCGGATCATAACTGAGACCTGTACTTTGTTCACAAAAATACATGGGCGGACGGGCATGCATAAGGAATCACGGGTCTATCTAGTTTCCTTTAGCCTGCTCCTAACATATGCACAAAGACATAATAAAGGGTATTATTGTGGGTATTATGTCTTTGTGCATATGTTTGTAACATGCAGAAGGAAACGAGATAGACCCATGGTTACTTTTGAGAAAATTTTCAGCATTTCCACCGAATTAGCTGTAATTTAGTATTTTGAGTTCTTAATGGGTACCAAATCTCTCCACAAAAAATTATGAATATAGGTCCATTTTTTCAGGTAGCCCCCATATAACGGTATCCCCAATTTTCGGTATTTTTGGGGTTCTTAATCGCGTTTTTCAACCGAAATTGCTGAAATTTGATATTTTGTAGCAGTATATGGAAACAAATCTCCCTACCAAAAATTATTAATACTCGCCCCCTTTTTGGGGTAGTCGCCATATAAACCCCTTTTTTATTATTTGAGTTTGGTTCTAAGACTCTGTTGTAATCGTTTCACCTGCGGAGGACAGCGAGATAAAGAATTAGAACGTAAGGTTAGATAATGAACTCTAAACCGCATTTAGGCCTAGTCCCTGTGTGGGAGGTACCATAAGGAGTGGACCGATATTCCCCATTTTCGAACTTGAACTAAGTTTGGAAGAAATAATAAGATGGGCAAAATTTGGATGAAATTAACATTTTTTTAAAATGGATTTGGTCCAAAGAAACATGGGGTCTAGAACCAATATTTCGATGAAGCACATTTTCATCGTGTCAAAGTGTATACACCATCATTAAGTATAATTATCCATTAAAAAATTCTGAAATTTGTATTATGGTTACCAAATGGGTTTGTAGAAATGTTTTTGGTATTTTTCCCTATATTTTCATTTCAAGTACCTGTCAGGTATCCAAAGTTCGGCCCGGCCGAACTTATGGCTTTTTTGCTTGTTATATTCTTGTGAGCATTTCTAACCAGATTTGTATAAAATTTGGCACAGGTCACTTATTGAAATTGGAGAAAATCAGTTCAGATTTAGATATAGCTCCCATATATATAGTATGTTCCCATATCCGATCCGACCGATTTTATATAAATGGAGTACCAGATTGCCAGTGTTGATCCGATAAAGACGAAAATTTGAGCAGCGTACTGAAATTCCCACAGATTTAGATATAGCTCCAATATTCCATATACACGAAATTTGCCAGCGGGTATTGAATTGGGTCAAGAATGTTTTGTGTTAAGGTTTGTTGAAATTGGTTCAGATATTTTATTTGGATTATATATTATATGGTTTTTATTTATAAATAGCGGGCCCGACAAACGTTGTCTTGCCTTAACAATATTGTTAAGAAATTATTTTCAGTATTTCAGATTTGTTTTACAATTTTTATTCATGCTAGCATAAACAATTTTTCTGGGTAACAGATGTCCATGAACATATAGATAAACTTTTAATTTTTTCCCAGGAAGCTATAGCACACATTTCAATATAATTCACTGCAGTATAGAATTTCGTGTTTCAATTGTGTTGGCTGTAAAACATATCATTTGTATGACATTCACATAAACTAACCTTACAGTATTGAGTATCTAGTTTATGGTTTTATAGAAAATAAATTCATTTATTTTACGATTTTTGTTCTTGAGTTATATGTGGTGTGGTTGTCGAACCGCAAACGTTGTTTCCCTTCTACATAATAACATATATATAATTTTTGTAACAATTGAATTTATGGAAAATAAATTTAAATAAAGTCATTGCGTACTGAATTGAGTCTAGAATGATGATTTGCTAAGTTTCTTGAAACTCGGTTCAAATTTAGATATACCTACCATATATAGATTCGTCCGATTTTATGTAAATGATGCACCAAAGCCCCTATATATCTTTCGATTTGCATGAAATTTGTCGTAGCATACTGAACTGAGTATAGAATGATATGTGCTAAATTTCGGGAAAATCGGTTCAGATTTATATATAGCTCCTATATATATTTTCTTCCGATTTCATGTCAATTGTGCATCAAAGACCCAAAGTTTGTACGATTGATACACAATTTTGTACAATGTACTGAAGTTAATATAAATCTCTGGCAAGTTTCGTTTAAATGGTGCACCGAATGACTCTAGAATGACGTTATTACGTGTTATTGAAATTAGCGCAGATTCAGACACAGCTTCCATATATATTTCAAACGGGTGTCTGATTGAGATTAAATTTTGAAGAGTGTGACCTACCAAATAGCTTGTATCAAATTTGCTCTCCATCGATTTACCCAAACTACTCTAAACTTGCCCGAATGAAATAAAATTTAGCATAGGTTCCAGAAGACATAAATCCACATATTCAAGTTCGTTCAATTTCATGACAATGCTATTTCGATAAGGCGACTTCTGTTAGGAATGTCATATAGTCGGCCCCTTCCCACTTTACGACTATCCTTACTGGTTTTACCTTTTAATTGAATTCGTATTTCGCAGTAATGTTATATTTTGGATGATAATGTTGAAAATGTGCCTAGGACTATTCACCAATGCTTCCGAATAGACCCCATATAATGATACTCTACATTATTCGATGCTTTGGTTTGAACGGTACCCACAATATTCAGTTTTTTGGGGAGTTTAGTCACATATTTCAATAAAATCGGCTGTAAATCTCCTTAGCAAAAATGATCAATATTGGTCCAAGTTTTCAGGTAGCCCCCATATATGGTATATTCCCCTTTGTTCGGTATATTCTCATGTGGAGTCAAATCTTCCTACCAAAACTCCCCATTGTAATAGCTGTAATACGTCATTACGCTACTACATTCCGATCCCGTTCCATTTTCGGTATTATAAACGGGATGTTACGTCCATGTTTTGATATAACTCCTACATTCAGGTCCCGTTCCATTTTCGGTATTATAAAGACGTTGACTGAATTTTCTCATAAAGTTGGCTATACCTTGCTATAACGCATTCCTGTGCACAGCTGTGATAAAAAACTTCTTCCAAAAATTATTTTTATTTTCAAACAAAATAATCTGGGCATGGATGTTAAAATCAGAATTCTCTAAATGGACACGAACTCGATTCCGAATGTCTTCTTATTTTCCATTCTTGCATTTGTCCCAAAAATTACGTGAATCCTTTGGAAAACATGTGCATACAATGTTCGCGTGTAGATTCAATGACATATGTATGTATGTACTTTTCAAATATTTTTTTATATTCTCACATAAAATATTTTCAATACAATGCCAATCCAATTGAAAAAAAAATATTTTGAAAATTTCCAAAGATTGACAAATTAAGGCTTAAAAGATTGATCGCTACCAATTTTGCCAAAAATTTGTCCAAATAACAAAAACGTGGTGGTCCAATAAAAATAGGTCGATACTAAATTCGTGGAAATGCAAATATGCCTCATCATATTGTTTTGCAAATTTTTCGCGGTTTTCGGTTTTCCTTTTAAAACTTCCCTGAAGCTCCACGAACATTTCAAGACTAAGATAAGAAAAATCCGTTCAGCCGTTTTCGAGTTTTAGCGAGACTAACGAACAGCAATTCATTTTTATATATAAAGATGTCACAATTTCTGAGATTCTTAAAATTACAGTCCATGTCCATAAGAAATCCATTATAGTTCACAGAAAAGTTGCATGTTCATAGCGATTATCAATTACCAGTCTTCAAATGTATATGTTAAAAATAATAGTTAGCATTAGTTGACAAAAAAAAAAACGCTAGACAAATGAGAGCAAATATGCATATGTATATTAAAATAATTAAAATTTGGCTGAGTCACAACAAAGTGTTATTACGCGTAAATGCCAGTTCAAAGTTTGAAAAATGTATGTATATTTTAATTTTTAAGTAATTATTGACAGATATTTTATACAAAAAAAATCATTTTTTTATAAAAACAACAAATTGACTATTTTGCAAAATACAAAATCATTTACCACAATCAAATAATGTGTACCATTTTTCTGGGTTAAATGACACACCATTCTCATAATTTTTCACTTTTACCATTGGGAAAACAAACACCTTTATCACTGATGTCTGATGCTACAAATCGTATAAAATTGGAAAATAATTATTAAAATGGTCAATTTGGTCATTTCAATAATATTTTGCCTAGAGCATCTATATAAATTCACCGAATTTTTTCTGTCATCATCAGTTCTAAACGGTTAATAATATCAACAAGTTATTTATTTTTATTTTAATACGAAATTAAAAACAAAACAACCAAATACCGAAGAATTATAATGTCGAATTTAATTTTGAAATTGGTTTTGTTTGCTGTGACCTTGGAAGCAGCACTGGCTTGCGTAAGTAGTTTCAAATAGAACCTTAATAAATTTAACAATTAACAAGTAAAAAAGCGTTAAGTTCGGCCGGGTCGAACTTTGGATACCCTCCACCATAGATATATTGACAGGTACTAGAAATGAAAATATAGGGAACATACTGAAAAGTTGACATATACCGACATTTCTAAAAACGGATTATGTAAACCATAATACAAATTTTAGAAATTTTTAAATGATAATTATACCCTCAACCTTATGGCTAATGAGTGTGTATAAACTTTAACACGGTGAAAATGTGCCTCATCGAAATATTGGTTCTAGACCCCATGTTTCTTTGGACCAAATCCGTTTCAGAAAATTTAGATTTCATCCGAACTTTGCCCATCTTATTATTTCTTCCAAGCTTAATTCAAATTCGAAGATGGGGAATATCGGTCCACTCCTTCTGGAACCTCCAATCGAACCTTACGTTTTAACTTTTTATCTCTCTATCCTCCGCAGGTGAAATGATAACAAAAGTGTCTTAGAACCAAACTCAAAACGCGGAACAAGTCAGTTAACTATTTTAATATAAATAAAAAGGGGGTTATATGGGGACTTCCCCAAAAAGGGGCTAATATTAATACATTTTGGGGGAGAGATTTCTTACTATATACGACTACAAAATACCAAATTGCAAATTCGGTTGAAAGAAGCGCTCAAGAACCCCAAAATACCGAAAATTGGGGGTACCCTTAGATTGGGGGCTATCCGAAAAAATGGACCTATATTCATAATTTTTTGTAGAGATATTTTGAACCTATTAAGAACCCAATGTACCAAATTTCAGCGTATTCGGTTGAAAAAAGCGCTCAAGAACCCCAAAATACCGAAAATTGGGGGTACCCTTATATTGGGGGCTATCCGAAAAAATGGACCTATATTCATAATTTTTTGTAGAGATATTTGGTACCCAATAACAACCCGATGTACCAAATTTCAGCGAATTCTGTTGAAAAACGCGCTCAAGAACCCCAAAATGCCGAAAATTGGGGGATATCCGAAAAAATTTACCTATATTTATAATTTTTTGTGGAGAGATTTGGTACCTATTAAGAACTGGAAATACTAAATTACAGCCAATTCGGTGGAAAAATACGATCAAAACCCCCAAAATACTGAACATTGGGAGGTACCGTTATATGGGGGCTACCAGAAAAATGGACCTATATTTATAATTTTATGTGGGGATATTTAATACCCAATAAGAACCCAATGTACCAAATTTCAGCGTATTCGGTTGAAAAACGCGCCCAAGAACCCCAAAATACCGAAAATTGGGGGGTACTGTTATATGGGAGCTATGCCTAAACGTGGACCGATATATCCCATCTTCGAACTTGACCTGCCTGGAGACAAGACAAACCTATGCAAAATTTCAACACCCTATCTCAATTCCTTCAGAACAGACGGACATGGCTAGATCGTCTTAGAATTTTACCCTGGTCAAGAATATATATACTTTATAGGGTCGGAAATGACTATTTCGATGAGTTACAAACGGAATGACAAAATTAATATACCCTCCATACTAGGTGGAGGGTACACTCCAACGAGGGAAACATTTTAAAATAAATAAATCTGTAGAAGCCGTGACACACCAAACAAAGCGATTAAAAAAATTGTTCTCATATTTAAATATTTTGAAAATCGGCTGGGTGCGCATCTGAGGCATAGGACAAAAAGTCGACCTGCATGTCAACTTTTTGACTACCAACATTTCCAAAAAAAAAGACTAATCTATAAAAATCAAATCAATTTTAATTAGAAAGTATAAGTCGGTGTTGCCGACAGATATGGCCAGACTACTGTACGCTATTTTGTGCTGTTTTTCCAAGTCTTCAAAGTTACAAGCAATCTTGTTAACATTTAATTATTATTAAATATGAACATTATATCATGTATTAATGTTTCCCTCAAAGAATTGACCATCTGCAGCAAAGAACCGGAAGATACGGCACCATAAACCCCCCATTTTCCGATTAAATGTATGCTAAAAATATTTGGTTTACCATCTATGGATCGAATCGGATACTCAGTTAGCATCATATTAATTTATGGTAAAAATATATTAATTTATACAAAGTTTGAATGAAATCATTCTCATGATATTTTTATACCCTACACAACTATGTTGTCAGGGTATTATAGCTTTGTGCAGCCTCAAGAGTTTGTAATGCAGCGAAATATTGGTCCTAGACCCACCTTTAAGTATACCGATCGTCATATCTCTACTAGCTGAGTTGATCTAGACATGTGTGTCCGTTCGTCTGTCCATTATAATTTGTAAACACGATGCAGGCCACAGTTATGGACCAATCTTCAAGAAATTTTTCATTTGGGATGGGTTCTGGCCAATGAAGACCCCTATTGTTTTTGGTAAAGATCGGTTGTTATTTAGGGGATGAAATGGACCAAATACTTAATTTTTGTCGGTTTTTCTGGTCGCTCCAGAGGACACAATTATGGTCCGAATATCGCGACATTTTACATGGAGAAGGGGATCGGGCCAAAGAATAAGCACGTCTGCTTTAATAAAGATCGGTCATTATTTAGCGGGTCAAATGGACTCTGACTTTTGTGTGAAAAATCACAAAATTTGAATTCTATAGCGTAGATATTTACTCCTGAAGGATATAGACTCGATAAGATGATAGTATATCCAAGAGGAGTGGTTGACCTTTCGGATGTTGGAGTTACACTGAAATATTTACAGGTGCATACGTATTCAGATATTATTTAGTAACCCATTACCACATTAGAGGGCAGAAATATAGCGCTGATCGCTTTGAAATTTTCCATGAAATTCCAATTATGGTCAAGGACAACGCCTTTTCGGTGATGATCGGAGTAAAATTTTGGGATGAAGTGGATCGAAAATTTAATTTCTTTGTGTGTTTTCTAGTCGAATATAAGCCGAACATCACAACTCAATCTACAAACTATTAGCAGAGGACTCAACCAGAACAGGCCGTGCAATCGAACAGTTATGGTGGCACTTGACCTATCGAAGGTCTTCGATACCGTCAACCATGCTAAGCTGTTCGATGATATAGAGAGAACAAATCTCCGACCGTGTTTGAAACGTTGGATAATCAACTATATGTGTGGACGCCAGTCGTATGTGGAATTCAGAAACAGGAAGTATAAACCCCGTAGAGTGAAACAGGGAGGGGTGATATCTCCGGAACTGTTTAACCTCTACCTTTCTGATATTCCACAACCACTGGACGGCATAGAGATCGTAATGTATGCGGATGATTGCACGATCATGGCGTCGGGTCCTATTATTGATGATATATGTGAGAGGCTAAACGTCTACATAGCCGATATTGTTACTTACTTCCATCTGAGGAATATGAAAATATCCGACCACCAACTACCCCAAGATATTGGGAGTAACGATCGACAGCCTTTTCAAGTCGTCCGCGCATGCCACTGCTTTATGCGATAAGCTGAGAAGTAGGAACACGGTCTTCAAGTCGCTAGCCGGCAGCACTTGGGGCGCTGACAAAGAAACCTTGTTGACCTCTTATAAAGCAATAGGCCCGTCAGTGGTAAGCTATGCGGCGCCAGTGTGGTTCGCGAATGTCAGTGATACGCAGTGGAAAAATATTCAGACCTGCCAGAACGCTGCCCTGAGAACTGCAACAGGGTGTCTCCTTATGACTCCAGTGGACCATCTTCATGAGGAGACGAAGATCTTAACCGTCCATCGTCACAACTATATGTTGTCGATGCAGTACCTTCTTGGGTGTTATCGTCAGGAACATCCCTGTCATAGCCTTATGGACAGGACTCCCCCACCCAGGCACGTCAGGAAAGATCTTCATGATCTAGAGAGAGGTCCAAAGGTACAAGCGTGAACCTCTAGATCAAGAAGCCTATCAAGCAGGTCTGAATGGTATTCACACGGATGCAGTCGCTCAGGCAGTAGAGCAATATCGAGTGAATACCATAATTGGAGACCACCCCCATCCATCGCAGCTGAGGAGAAGCAGCTGCCAAGGCAAACACGAGTAGTCTTAGCTCAACTAAGATCAGGATGGTGCAACCGCCTCAATTCATATTGGGCAAGAATTGACGGCTCGATTCCTAACACATGTCCGGCATGTGGACTAGGACCACACGACACGTTGCACCTCTTCAATTGCCCAGCTAAGCCTACTCACCTATCGCCGAATTCACTTTGGACGCAACCCGCTGAAGTTCCTGAATTTGGTGGTAGAAGATGCAGAACCAGACGATGCATGACAAAACGACATGTATTCTGTTGCTACAACAACAACAACTCAACTTACCGTGAAGGGAATCTGGACAAGTAATTAGACGGACTGTACTGACTAATTGTAATATTTGGAAAATGTAAGGAAGATGTGCTGTTGACCTCTAATCGGGCAAGTCGGGGCAAATATCACAAAAATTGCCCAGGCTTGGAATAAACATCCGAGTTCCGTGGTAGTTGTGTAGGGTATCGTATGGTCGGCCCCGTCCGACTATACTGCTCCGCTCACTGGTTTTAAATTATTTTGTTCAGCTAAATTTTTACATATTGGTTTATTTTTGTCCATTTTACAGAATGGCTACAAAGCCAATCTCATTAAGGCTGAGAATTGTGCCGGGGACGATGCCATTATTACCTTGGATTCGGACTTTTCGGTTAAGCTCAATAAGAAATGTGAAATTGTACCCTCTGGCTGTATTATAAATAAAGCTTTCAAGACAGCTGTTTCCAAATTCAAAGTGACCAAGGATGGCATGGTCATTAAGGAGGGTAAAATGGATTTATGCAGTATGGCTGATAATGCACCTTCGGAAGTTAAGGATTATTTGAAAGTGTTTGGTGCTCCAGCATCATGCCCCGTTGAAGAGGTATAAAACAATTAACAGTTTGAAATAATTTTTTTTGTCAATAATTAAATATATATTACTTCTTGTAGACCAAAGTTTGTGCCCATGATCACAAAATCGATTTGTCCAAATACAAGGCCTTGTTGTCCGTTGCCCGTGGTCACATTGTTGTTGATTCGGATATTACCCACGATACTGTAAGTATTGTATACAGTGCTACTTTCATATAATTAATGCAATGCAATTTTTAAATTATTTTGTTTTTATTTTTGAAGGGCAAATCCTGCTTCCACGTTGAAATGGAAATCACAAATTAATTTATGAATTGAGAAATCATATTTTGAGGAATCGGTGTTGTATTCAATATTTATATTTTATTTAATGGCTTGTGTATATTACTATAATTATTAAATGTAAATAAATCGGAATGGACCAATCAAAAATAATCTATTTTAATTTATTTTCTTCTAAAGTAATTAAATTTGGTTTAGGCCAAAGGCAAAATTGCAAAATTTTCATATATAAGCATGTCATCAATAGATGTGCCAATAGGAATTGGACCCATATCCGACAGCGCGTTGGACCATGGTCATCTTACTCAATGTATGTAGCCAATAGTAATGTTACAAGCAAAAACTGAAATTAAAAGTCGCACCGCAACCAAGCAATTTTTGTAAACCATAAATACAAATTTCGAATATATTTAATTGGGATTTTTCCTAAAATCTTAAAAAAAAACGTGAGCCGATATCGATTACGCAGGGCTGGGTGAAACATGTATATAAAATCCTAAAAATTCAACAATTTAGAGGCAAAGTTATTGAAGCTGTATATGAAGTTCGGTGTCCTCCGAAGGAAGAAACATAAAAAATTACAACCATTTCGACTGAAAAACGATCTCAAACTCCCCAAAATACCGAATTTGCTGGAGGTACCGTTATATGGGTGCTACTCGAAAAAGTGGATCGATATTGATAATTATACATTTATGACCCGAATTGGATGAAATTTGGTACAGCTCATTTGTTTGGCCCAAGGACGAACCCTATTGAAATTTGATTTATATTTTCGTCCGATTTAAGGTAAATGGTGCACCAAAGTCCCTATATATCGTTCGTTTTGCACGAAATTTGACACAACGTACTTAATTAAGTCTAGAATGATATATGCAAAGTTTCATGAAAATCGGTTCAGATTTAGACATAGCTCCCATATATAGCTTTCCCCGATTTTAGGTAAATAGTCCACTAAAGTCCCTGGAAATCTATTGATTTGCAAGAATTTTGGCATGGTGTACTGAATTAAGTCTAGAATGATGTGTGAAAAGTTTTGAGAAAATCGGTTCATATTTAAATACATCTCCCATATATAGCTTCGCCCGATTTTAGGTAAATAGTCCACTAAAGTCCTTGGAAATCTTTTGACTTGCACTAAATTTGGCACATCGTAATGAATAACATGTAGAATGATGTTTGCCAAGTTTCGTGAAAATCGGTTCAGATTTAGATATAGCTCCCATATATATCTTCGTCCGATTTAAGGTTAATTGTGTACCAAAGTCCCTATATATCTTTCGATTTGGCACGGCGTACTAAATTAAATATAGAATGATGTGTGGTTAGTTTCGGGAAAATCGGTTCAGATTTAGATATAGCTCCCATATGTATTTTCATCCGAAAAGATCCATAGCTAGGCCGATTGACACAACGTACTGATTTTATATAAATTAGTATCTGGCAAGTTTCCCTGAAATCGGTTCAGATATAGATTTATAACAAAACGCGTCGTCTATTAGGATCAGTGTTGCCAAAACTTTGTTGAGGAAAAATGCTATATTTTGTTGAAAAAAATGCTAGAAAGTGCTAAATAATTTAAAAAAGTGCCAGAAAAAAGTGCTAAAAATTTCTTAAACAAAATTGTTAATATTTAATAATGAAATATTAATCAGAAACCCCATTTATTCTTAACGGCTATTCGTTGTCGATTTAGCCATGTCCGTCGCATTGAGGTCGCAATATTGAAGACAGAGCTTTGGAATTTTGCACATACGTTGGTACCATTTCTATGAGATTTGATATTGGAAATGGAATATATCGGTCCTTTTTGGGTACACCATACCCCAATATTTTTTTTAAGCTTTTAGGCACATTTTTATACCTTTCACCATAGTATGGAGGGTATATTAATTTTGTTTTTCGTTTGTAACTCATCGAAATAATCATTTCCGACCCTATAAAGTATATACATTCTTGATCACCGTTAAATTCTATGACGATATAGTCATGTTCGTCTGTCCGTCTGAGGACAATTTGGTACATTGAGTTCTTATTGGGTAGCAAATATCTCCACTAAAAATTATAAATAGGGGTCCATATTTTCGAATAGCCCCCATATAAGGGCACCCCCCAATTTTCAGTAGTTTAGGGTTCATGAGCGCGGTTTTCAACCGAATTCGCTGAAATTTGGTACATTGAGTTCTTATTGGGTACCAAATTTCCCTACTTAAAATTATAAATATAGGTCCATTTTTTCTGGTTGCTCCCATATAAGGGTACCTCCCAATTTCCAGTTTTTGGGTGGTTTTAACTTAATTGGCTGTAATTTAGTACTTTGAGTTCTTATTGGGTAGCAAATCTCTCCACAAGAAATTATAAATATGGGTCAATTTTTTCGGGTAGCCCCCATATAACGGTACCCCAATTTTCGATATTTTGAGGTTCTTGAGCTCGTTTTTCAACCGAATTCGCTGAAATTTGGTATTTTGTAGTCGTATATGGTTACAAATATCCCCAGCAAAAATTATTAATATTCACCCTTTTTTAGGGGTAGTCCGGCCCGATTTTTT